ACGCCCTCATGCGCCGCTGCTGGGCCGCCGACCCCCGGGCCCCCCAAAGCCCCCAGCCCCATTTCCATCCCCCCTATCCCCATTATTGAAGCCCCCAGACCCATTTCCCCTCAGGTACGCCCTCATGCGCCGCTGCTGGGCTGCCGACCCCCGGGCCCACCAAAGCCCCCAGACCCATTTCCATCCCCTATCCCCATTAATGAAGCCCCCAGCCCCATTTCCATCCCCATTTCCAGCCCCATTCCGAAGCCCCCAGATCCATTTTTGCGCCCCCTCCTCAGGTACGCCCTCACGCGTCACTGCTAGGCCGCTGACCCCCGGGCCCGCCAAAGCCCCCAGACCCATTATGAAGCCCCCAGCCCCATTTCTATCCCATCCCGAAGCCCCCAGCCCCATTTCCCTCCCCAGGTATGCCCTCATGCGCCGCTGCTGCGCCGCCGACCCCTGGGCCCGCCAAAGCCCCCAGACCCATTTCCATCCCCCAGCCCCATTTCCATCCCATTATTGAAGCCCCCAGCCCCATTTCCATCCCCCAGCCCCATTTCCATCCCCCCCAGCCCCATTTCCATCCCATTATTGAAGCCCCCAGCCCCATTTCCATGCCCCCAGCCCCATTTCCATCCCCCCCAGCCCCATTTCCATCCCATTATTGAAGCCCCCAGCCCCATTTCCATCCCCCCCAGCCCCATTTCCATCCCATTATTGAAGCCCCCAGCCCCATTTCCATCCCCCCCAGCCCCATTTCCATCCCATTATTGAAGCCCCCAGCCCCATTTCCATTCCCCCCAGACCCATTTCCATCCCATTATTGAAGCCCCCATCCCCCCCACGAAGCCCCCAGCCCCATTTCCATTGCAGGTACGCCCTCATGCGCCGCTGCTGGGCCGCCGACCCCCGGGCCCGCCCGACCTTCGAGGAGCTCGGGGGGGCCCTGGGGGGGCTCCTGCGGGGGCTGCCCCCCCCCCCCCGCGACCCCCGACCCCCTCTACGTCAACATGGCCCGGCCGGGGGGCGGGGCCGGCGCGGGGACCCCCCCGGAGCCCCCCAAAAACGGCGCCGAGGGGGCGGGGCCGGGGAGATACGTGCTGTGCCCCGCCCCCTGCCCCGAATCTGGGGACCCCCCCCTTGAATTTGGGGACCCCCACCATGGATTTGGGGACCCCCACCAGGAATTTGGGGACCCCCACCAGGAATTTGGGGATCCCCACCATGAAATTGGGGACTCCCACCTCGAATTTGGGGACCCGCACCATGGATTTGGGGACCCCCACCATGAATTTGGGGATCCCCACCATGGGTTTGGGGACCCCCACCCCGAATTTGGGGACCCCCACCCCGAATTTGGGGACCCCCAGCATGGCTTTGGGGATCCCCACCATGGGTTTGGGGACCCCCACCAGAAATTTGGGGACCCCCACCCTGGATTTGGGGACCCCCACCCCGAATTTGGGGACCCCCAGCATGGATTTGGGGATCCCCAGCATGGATTTGGGGACTCCCACCCCGAATTTGGGGATCCCCACCATGGATTTGGGGACCCCTCCCCAAATTCCTCCCCTGAATTTGGGGATCCCCCCGCTGAATTTGGGGACCCCCACCCCGGATTTGGGGACCCCCACCCGGAATTTGGGGACCCCCCCACTGGATTTGGGGGTCCCACCGGGTTTGGGACCCCTCCCCAGGATTTGGGGGTCCCCCCGGATTTTGGGGGGTCTGAGGAGGGGGCGTGATGGGTGAGACCCCCCCCCAAAAAAAAGCTGTGGTACTGCCAGGGAACCCCCAAAATAAAGGGACCCCCCCCAAAATAAGGGACTCCCCCCAAATTAAGGGACCCCAAAAATGGGACCCCCAAAAAATTGGGGACCCCCCTTAAAGGTACTGGGGACCCCTCCCCAAAATAAAGGGGAACCCCAAAATAAAGGGAACCCCAAAAATAAAGGGAACCCCAAAATAAAGGGACCCCCCCAAAATAAAGGGACCCCCCAAAATAAAGGGACCCCCCAAAAATAAAGGGACCCCCAAAAAGGGAACCCCAAAATAAAGGGACCCCCCAAAATAAAGGAACCCCCCCAAAAAATAAAGGGAACCCCCAAATAAAGGGACCCCCAAAAATAAAGGACACCCCAAAATAAAGGGACCCCCCCAAAATAAAGGGAACCCCCCAAAATAAAGGGACCCCCCAAAATAAAGGGGACCCCCAAAATAAAGGGAACCCCAAAAATAAAGGGAACCCCCCCAAAATAAAGGGAACCCCCAAAATAAAGGGACCCCCAAAATAAAGGGACCCCAAAATAAGGGGAACCCCAAGAAGGGAACCCCAAAATAAAGGGAAACCCCCCCAAAATAAAGGAACCCCCCCAAAAAATAAAGGGAACCCCCAAATAAAGGGAAACCCAAAAATAAAGGGACCCCCCCCAAAATAAAGGGGGACCCCCAAAATAAAGGGACCCCCCCCAAAATAAAGGGTCCCCCCAAAATAAAGGGAACCTCAAAATAAAGGGACCCCCAAAATAAAGGGGCCCCCCCAAAATAAAGGGACCCCCCAAAATAAAGGGAACCCCAAAACAAAAGGAATCCCAAAAATAAAGGGACCCCCCCAAAAAAATAAAGGGACCCCCCAAAATAAAGGGAACCCCCCAAAATTAAGGGTAACCCCCAAAATAAAAGGAAACCCCAAAATAAAGGGAACCCCCCAAAATAAAGGGGAACCCCCAAAATAAAGGGAACCCCCAAAATAAAGGGAACCCCAAAACAAAAGGAATCCCAAAAATAAAGGGACCCCCCCAAAAAAATAAAGGGACCCCCCAAAATAAAGGGAACCCCCCAAAATTAAGGGTAACCCCCAAAATAAAAGGAAACCCCAAAATAAAGGGAACCCCCCAAAATAAAGGGGAACCCCCAAAATAAAGGGACCGCCAAAAAAAGGGAACCCCCCAAAATAAAGGGGAACCCCAAAATAAAGGGAACCCCTCAAAATAAAGGGACCCCAAAATAAAGGGAACCCCTCAAAATAAAGGGAACCCCAAAATAAAGGGAACCCCCCAAAATAAAGGGAACCCCAAAAAGGGAATCCCAAAAATAAAGGGACCCCCCCCAAAATAAAGGAGGACCCCCAAAATAAAGGGAACCCCAAAATAAAGGGAACCCCAAAAAGGGAATCCCAAAAATAAAGGGACCCCCCCCAAAATAAAGGAGGACCCCCAAAATAAAGGGGAACCCCAAAATAAAGGGACCCCCCAAAATAAAGGGAACCTCAAAATAAAGGGACCCCCCCAAAATAAAGGGACCCCCCCAAAATAAAGGGACCCTCAAAATAAAGGGACCCCCAAAATAAAGGGGCCCCCCAAAATAAAGGGAACCCCAAAACAAAAGGAATCCCAAAAATAAAGGGACCCCCCCAAAAAAATAAAGGGACCCCCCAAAATAAAGGGAACCCCCCAAAATTAAGGGGAACCCCCAAAATAAAAGGAAACCCCAAAATAAAGGGAACCCCCAAAATTAAGGGGAACCCCCAAAATAAAGGGACCCCCAAAAAAAGGGAACCCCCCAAAATAAAGGGGAACCCCCAAAATAAAGGGAACCCCTCAAAATAAAGGGAACCCCAAAATAAAGGGACCCCCAAAAAGGGACCCCCCCTTAAAGGTACTGGGGACCCCCCCCAAAATCAGGGACACCCCCCCCCCCAAGGACCCCCCCAAAAATATCAGGGACCCCCCCAGAGGTACTCGGGCATTAGGGGACCCCCCCCAAAATAAAGGGACCCCCCCCAAAGGTACTGGGACCCCCAAGGACCCCCCCAAATTAAAGGGACCCCCCCCAAAATAAAGAGGCCCCCCCAAAGGTACTGGGACCCCCAGGGACCCCCCCAAAATAAAGGGGACCCCCCAAAGGTACTGGGACCCCCAGGGACCCACCCAAAATAAAGGGACCCCTCAAAAAGGTACGGGGGCAATTCTGGGACCCCCCCCCCCAAAATAAAGGGACCCCCCAAAAAAGGAACCCCCCCCCCCCCCAAGGTACTCGGGCATTATGGGACCCCCCCCCAAAATAAAGGGACCCCCCCCAAAGGTACTGGGACCCCCAGGGACCCCCCCAAAATGAAAGGACCCCCCCCAGGACACCCCCAAAAAAGGAACCCCTGCAACCCACTCCCCAAATTAAAGGAACCCCCCCCCCCCATTCACCCCCCCCCCCCCAAAATAAAGTTCCGAGTTCCGCTCCCGCCTCGTTCTCAGGGATGGGTCGGTCCATTTGGGGATTTTGGGGGGGGGGAATTTGGGGGGTTTGGGTTTTTTGGGGGGGTTTTTTGAAATTTTTTTGGGGGTTTTGGGGGTTCTTTGAAATTTTTTCAGGTTTTTTAAGGGGCTTTTGGGGTTCTTTGAAATTATTTTAGGTTTTTGCGGGGTTTTTGATATTTTTGGGGTTTTTTTGAGTTTTGGGGGCTCAGGGGCGTGCCCAGAGTGAGGGGCGCGGTCTCAGACCACGCCCATATTGCTCCAGCCAATGGGAGTACGCCGCTCCCCGGCAGCCAGCCAATAGGAGCGCGGCTTCCGTTGCCTGGCAACTTGGGCGGCCCCACGCGCAGATGCCGCCGTGGGCGTGGCGGCACCCATATCGCGAAAATACCCAATGAGAAGAGAGATTTGGACAGAGGGCCCCGCCTCCTAAATGACAGACAGCGAGTTTAACCAATGGTAGTGCGTATCCCCCTTTCAGCTCCCCTCCCGCCAAGGATGCATCAACCAATGACAAGCAGCGTTACAACCTCACTCCTCCCTTCCACCCAATCAGCGCCCGCTTTCCAAAACCCTCGACTTATGCGGGAGCGCGGGCGGGAAGCCAGGGGGAGGTGGCAGAGAGTCGACCAATAGAAAGCGGCGTTACATCGCCGCGCGGGGCCGCCAGCCAATAGCAGCGCGCGTTACGGCGGGCGCGGGCCGGGCCCGGGAAGGGGGCAAGGTGGCGGCCATTTTGATCGTGAGGGGCCGTGAGGGGCGGCCATGGAGGCGCGGCGGCCGCGGGTGCCGGAGCTGCGGGACGAGCTGGGCCGCCGCGCCATGGACACCCGCGGGCTCAAAGCCGAGCGGCTGCAAACGGCGATGGACGGCGAAGGAGCTCGGCGGGAGGGCCGGTGTAAGAGGGACCCCCGGTTCTGAGGGGATGGGACGCCCAGTGCTGAGGGAATGGGACCCCCCGGTTCTGAGGGGAATGGGACCCCCAGTTCTGAGGGGAATGGGACCCCCAAGACCCCCGGTTCTGAGGGGATGGGACCCCCGTTCTGAGGGAATGGGACCCCCGGTTCTGAGGGGAATGGGACCCCCGGTTCTGAGGGGATGGGACCCCCGTTCTGAGGGGATGGGACCCCCGGTTCTGAGGGGAATGGGACCCCCGGTTCTGAGGGGATGGGACCCCCGTTCTGAGGGGATGGGACCCCCGGTTCTGAGGGGATGGGACCCCCGTTCTGAGGTGATGGGACCCCCGGTTCTGAGGGGAATGGGACCCCCGTTCTGAGGGAATGGGACCCCCGGTTCTGAGGGGAATGGGACCCCCGTTCTGAGGGGATGGGACCCCCGGTTCTGAGGGGAATGGGACCCACCGTTCTGAGGGAATGGGACCCCCGGTTCTGAGGGGGTGGGACCCACAAGACCCCCAGTTCTGAGGGAATGGGACCCCCAGTTCTGAGGGAATGGGACCCCTGGTTCTGAGGGGAATGGGACCCCCAGTTCTGAGGGAATGGGACCCCCGGTTCTGAGGGGGTGGGACCCACAAGACCCCCAGTTCTGAGGGGATGGGACCTCCAGAATGAGGGGATGGGACCCCCAAGACCCTCGGTTCTGAGGGAATGAGGGGAATGGGACCCCCGGTTCTGAGGGGAATGGGACCCCCGGTTTTGTGGGGAATGGGACCCCCGGTTCTGAGGGGATGGGACCCCCAAGACCCCCGGTTCTGAGGGATTAGGATCCCCCTGCGACCCCCTCCCCCCCCCATTCCTGGTGGTCCTGATCCCCCATTTCCCCCCTGTGACCCCCCCCCCCCCCCCCCCGTTCCTGGGGGTCCTGATCCCCCATTTCCCCTCAGCACTCCCCTCCCCCATCTCTATATTTTTAATTCCTCCATTTTCCCTGCCCCAATTTCCCCTTTTTTCACCCCGTTTTCCAGACGGCCTCAACAACCACAGCCACGAGCACCAGGGGGGCCACCAGGAACCCCAGGGTGGCCACCAAGGCCACCACCAAGGCCACCAAGGCCACCAGGGCCACCAACCCTACAAGGGGCAGGACTCTGAGCCCCCTGGGCTGCACCCAGGTGGGCATTGAGGGGATTTGGGGGGGATTTGGGGGGGCATTGGGGCATTTTGGGGGATTGGGGGGGGTCTGGGGGTGGTCTGGGGGGTCTAGAGGGGGACTTTGGGGGTGTCTGGGGGAGTTGGGTGCATTTGGGGGGATCTGGGGGTGATTTGGGGGGTCTGGAGGTCATTTTGGGGGTCTGTGGGTGCATTTGGGGGGCATTTTGGGGGTCTCTGGGGGTCTGGTGCATTTGGGGGTCTCTGGGGGTGACTTGGGGGTCTGAGGGGGCATTTTGGGTGCCTGGGGGGGCAGTTTGGGGGTCTGGGGGGTCATTTTGGGGGTCTCTGGGTAAGGGGGATTTGGGCAGGAACCTCCATGTGGAGTCTGGGGGGGATCTGGGGGACATTTGAGGGTTTGGGGGTCATTTTGGGGGTCTTTGGGGGGATCTGGGAGTGATTTGGGGGGTCTGGGGGGCATTTTGGGGCTCTCAGAGTGCTTTTTGGGGGGTCTGGAGGTCGTTTTGGGGGTCTCTGGGTGCATTTGGGGGGCATTTTGGGGGTCTCTGGGGGTCTGTGGGTGTATTTGGAGGCGCTCTTTGGGGGTCTCTGGGGGGATTTGGGTGCATTTGTGGGGTCTGGGGGTTATTTGGGGGTCTGAGGGGGCATTTGGGGGTCTCTGGGGGTGATTTGGGGGTCTGGAGGTCATTTTGGGGGTCTCTGGGGGTGATTTGGGGGGGTCTGGGGGGCATTTTGGGGTCTCTGGGGGTCTGTGGGTGTGTTTGGGGGTCTCTGGGGGCATTTGGGTGCATTTGGGGGTCTCTGGGGGTGATTTGGGGGGGGTCTGTGGGGGCATTTTGGGGTCTCTGGGGGTCTGTGGGTGTATTTGGGGGTCTCTGGGGGGGTCTGGGGGGGCATTTTGGGGGTCTCTGGGGGTCTGTGGGATGGGGGGATTTGGGCAGGGGCCTCCCTGTGGGGTCTGGGGGGGTCTCTGGGGGGGCATTTTGGGGGTCTCTGGGAGGCTTTGGGGGTCTCTGGGGGTATTTTGGGGGTCTCTGGGTGTGTTTGGGGGTCTCTGTGAGTCTCTGGCTGTATTTGGGGAGGGGTCTCTGGGTGTGTTCGGGGCGGATCCTGGGGGTCTCTGGCTGTATTTGGGGAGGGGTCTCTGTGTATTTTTGGGGCATCTCTGGGTGTATTTGGGGAGGGTCTCTGGGTGTGTTTGGGGGTCTCTGGGTGTATTTGGGGAGGGGTCTCTGGCTGTATTTGGGTGGGGGTCTCTGGGTGTGTTTGGGGGTCTCTAGGTGTATTTGGGGAGGGGTCTCTGGGTGTATTTGGGGGTCTCTGGGTGTATTTGGGGAGGGGTCTCTGGGTGTATTTGGGGGTCTCTGGGTGTATTTGGGGAGGGGTCTCTGGCTGTATTTGGGTGGGGGTCTCTGGGTGTGTTTGGGTGGGGGTCTTTGGGTCTCTGGCTGTATTTGGGGAGGGGTCTCTGGGTGTGTTCAGGGCGGATCCTGGGGGTCTCTGGCTGTATTTGGGGAGGGGTCTCTGGCTGTATTTGAGGAGGGGTCTCTGGGTATGTTTGGGGGTCTCTGGGCGTATTTGGGGAGGGGTCTCTGGCTGTATTTGGGTGGGGGTCTCTGGGTGTGTTTGGGGGTCTCTGGGTGTATTTGGGGGTCTCTGGCTGTATTTGGGTGGGGGTCTCTGGCTGTATTTGGGGAGGGGTCTCTGGCTGTATTTGGGGGTCTCTGGCTGTATTTGGGGAGGGGTCTCTGGGTGTGTTTGGGTGTATTTGGGGAGGGGTCTCTGGCTGTATTTGGGGAGGGGTCTCTGGCTGTATTTGGGGAGGGGTCTCTGGGTGTGTTTGGGTGTATTTGGGGAGGGGTCTCCACCTCATCTCTCCCCTCCCCCTCCCCACAGCGCTGCACTCCAAGCCGGACCAGCTCCCCCCCCACGCCCCCTCCCCAAAATACAGTGCCCCGCCCCCTAATTACAATGCCCCGCCCCCTAATTACAACGCCCCGCCCCCTAATTACAACACCCCTCCCACTAATTACGGCGCCCCCTCTAATTATGGCACCGCCTCTAATTACAACGCCCCTCCCCCTAATTATAACACCCCTCCCACTAATTACGGCGCTCCCTCTAATTATGGCACCGCCTCTAATTACAACGCCCCTCCTCCTAATTATAACACCCCTCCCCCTAATTATAACACCCCTCCCCCTAATTACAGCATCTCCTCTAATTATGGCACCCCCCCTAATTGCGGTGCCCCTCCCACTAATTATAATGTTCCTCCCCCTAATTACAATGCTCCTCCTGCTAATTATAATACTCCTCCCCCTAATTACAGTGCTCCTCCCCCTAATTATAATACCCCTCCCCCTAATTACGGCACCTCCTCTAATTACGGCGCCGCCTCTAATTACAGCGCCCCCTCCTCAAATTACAGCCCCCCCTCTAATTATGGCGCCGCCTCTAATTACAGCGTCCCTCCCCCTAATTATGGCATCCCTTCTAATTACAGCTCCCCCTCCTCTAATTACAGCCCCCACTCTAATTACGGCGCCCCTCCCCCTAATTACAACGGCTCCCCCCATAATTACACCACACCCTCTAATTACGGCGCCCCGCCCCCTAATTACGGCCCCGCCCCCTCCCCTCGTTCTGACCCCGCCCCGCCCCCCCCCAACCGGAAGCGGCCGTGGGAGGAGAGGGGGAGGGGCGACGGCGAGCGGCGGCGGGAGAAAAGGTGAGGGGAGACCCCGCCCCAAATTGACCACGCCCACCCCGGAGACCCCGCCCCAAATTAAATTAACCACGCCCACCCCAATTAACAACCCCACCCACTCAGAGACCCCGCCCCAAATTAACCACGCCCACCCCGAGACCCTGCCCCAATTAGCCACGCCCACCCCAGAGACCCTGCACCAAATTAAACTAACCACGCCCACCCCAGAGACCCCACCCCAAATTAACCACACCCACCCCAGAGACCCTGCACCAAATTAACCACACCAACCCCAGAGACCCCACCCCAAATTAACCACGCCCACTGAGACCCCTCCCCAAATTAACCATGCCCACTCCAGAGACCCCAGAGACCCCGCCCCAAATTAACCACGCCCACCCCGAGACCCTGCCCCAATTAACCACGCCCACCCCAGAGACCCCACCCCAAATTAAACTAACCACACCCACTCCAGTGACCCCGCCCCAAATTAACCACACCCACCCCAGTGACCCCCGCCCCAAATTAATCACTCCCACCAAGACCCCGCCCCAAATTAACCACACCCACCCAAATTAACAACCACACCCACTGAGACCCCTCCCCAAATTAACAAATTAACAACCACACCCACCCCCATTAACAACCACATCCACTGAGAGACCCCTCCCCAAATTGGCAACCACACCCACCCCAAACTAACCACACCCACCCAGAGACCCCTCCCCAAATTAACCCAACCCCCTCAAATTAACCTCACCCACTCCAGAGACCCCTCCCCAAATTAACCCCAGACACTGAGACCCCTCCCCAAATTAACAATCCCACTCACCCCAATTAACAACCCACCTACCCAAATTAAACCCACCCACCCACTGAGACCCCGCCCCAAATTAAAAACCCCCACCCTGGAGACCCCTCCCCAAATTAACCACACCCACCCCAAATAACAACCCGACCCACCCCAATTAACAACCCCACCCACTCAAATTAACCCCACCCACCCCAGAGACCCCTCCCCAAATTAACCACACCCACCCCAAATAACAACCCGACCCACCCCAATTAACAACCCCACCCACTCGAATTAACCCCACCCACCCCAGAGACCCCTCCCCAAATTAACCACACCCACCTGTCCCCAAATCCCTGTCCCCAAACTGGATCCCTGTCCCCAAACCGGGTGCCCTGTCCCCAAATCCCTGTCCCCACCTCGGTGTCCCCATCTCGGTGTCCCCACCTCTGTGTCCCCAACCCTGTCCCCACCCCGGTGTCCCCAAATCCCTGACCCCAGATCCCTGTCCCCAAATCCCTGACCCCAAACTGGGTCCCCTGTCCCCAAATCCCTTCCCCCACCTCTGTGTCCCCACCCCGGTGTCCCCAGCCTTGTCCCCAACCCTGTCCCCAACCTTGTCCCCAAGCCTGTCCCCACCCCCGTGTCCCCAACCCTGTTCCCACCTCAGTGCCCCCAACCCTGTCCCCACCCCTGTCCCCACCCCTGTCCCCACCCCTGTCCCCACCCCGGTGACCCCAACCCTGTCCCCACCCCTGTCCCCAACCCTGTCCCCACCTCGGTGTCCCCAACCCTGTCCCCACCCCGGTGTCCCCACGGTGTCCCCAGGCCTGTCCCCAGCTGGGTGTCCCCTCCCCCGCAGGCCGCGCTCCCCTGCGCCGCCCCCCGAGGGCGCCGACGACGCCCGGGACGATTCCCTGGTGGCCCTGGACACCTGTGAGTGCCCCTCCCCCCTTCAGTGCCACCAAACGCCACCGCCCGGTGTCACCCCGGCGCCACCGCGGCGTCCCTTTGTGTGCCCGCAGACAACTGCGACCCGCACTTCACGGTGGCGCCGGTGACAGTGACACAGTGACAGTGACAGTGAGACATTGACAGTGAGACAGTGACACAGTGACAGTGACAGTGACAGTGACACCGAGGTGTCCCTTTGTGTCCCCGCAGACAACTGCGACCCGCACTTCACGGTGGCGCCGGTGACAGTGACACAGTGACACAGTGACCCAGTGACAGTGACACAGTGACAGTGAGACAGTGACACAGTGACAGTGACAGTGACACAGTGACACAGTGACACAGTGGCACAGTGACACAGTGACAGTGACACCGCGGTGTCCCTTTGTGTCCCCGCAGACAACTGCGACCCGCACTTCACAGTGGCGCCGGTGACAGTGACACAGTGACACAGTGACCCAGTGACAGTGACACAGTGACAGTGACACAGTGACACAGTGACACAGTGACACAGTGACAGTGACACAGTGACAGTGACACAGTGACAGTGAGACAGTGACACAGTGACAGTGAGACAGTGACAGTGACACAGTGACACAGTGACACAGTGACAGTGACAGTGACAGTGACACAGTGACAGTGACAGTGACACAGGGACACAGTGACACAGTGACACAGTGACACAGTGACAGTGACACAGTGACACAGTGACAGTGAGACAGTGACAGTGACACAGTGACACAGTGACACAGTGACAGTGACAGTGACAGTGACACAGTGACACAGTGACACAATGACAGTGACACAGTGGAAGTGACACAGAGACACAGTGACAGTGACAGTGACACCACGGTGTCCCTTTGTGTCCCCGCAGACAACTGTGACCTGCACTTCACGGTGTCGCCGGTGACAGCGACACAGTGACAGTGACACAGTGACAGTGAGACAGTGACAGTGAGACAGTGACACAGTGACAGTGACACCGTGACAGTGACACAGTGACACAGTGACACAGTGACAGTGACAGTGACACAGTGACAGTGACACAGTGACAGTGACACAGTGACACAGTGACAGTGACACAGTGATACAGTGACACAGTGACAGTGACAGTGACACAGTGACAGTGACACAGTGACAGTGAGACAGTGACACAGTGACACAATGACAGTGACACAGTGGAAGTGACACAGAGACACAGTGACAGTGACAGTGACACAGTGACACAATGAAAGTGACACAGTGACAGTGACACAGTGACAGTGACACAGTGACACAGTGACAGTGACACAGTGGAAGTGACACAGAGACACAGTGACAGTGACAGTGACAGTGACAGTGACACAGTGGAAGTGACACAGAGACACAGTGACAGTGACAGTGACACCACGGTGTCCCTTTGTGTCCCCGCAGACAACTGTGACCTGCACTTCACGGTGGCGCCGGTGACAGCGACACAGTGACAGTGACACAGTGACACAGTGACAGTGACACAGTGACAGTGACATAGTGTCACAGTGACACAGTGACAGTGACAGTGACAGTGACACTGTGACACAGTGACAGTGACACAGTGACACAGTGACACAGTGACACAGTGACAGTGACAGTGACACCGCGGTGTCCCTTTGTGTCCCCGCAGACAACTGCGACCTGCACTTCACGGTGTCGCCGGACGGGTACGGGGGGCGCCCGCTGGCAACCGACGGCTTCGGGCACCTGTGGGCGGGGGCCAGGGCCACCCACGGCGTCACACGGGGACGGGTGTGCTTCGAGATGGAGGTGAGGGACAGGGACACAGTGACACAGTGACAGTGACACAGTGACACAATGACAGTGACACGGGGACGGGTGTGCTTCGAGATGGAGGTGAGGGACAGGGACAGTGACACAGTGACAGTGACACAGTGACACAATGACAGTGACACGGGGACGGGTGTGCTTCGAGATGGAGGTGAGGGACAGGGACACAGTGACAGTGACACAGTGACAGTGACACAGTGACAATGACACAGGGACGGGTGTGCTTCGCGATGGAAGTGAGGGACAGGGACAGTGACAGTGACACAGTGACACGGGTACGGTTGTGCTTCAAGATGGAGGTGAGGGACAGGGACACAGTGACAGTGACACAGTGACACAGTGACAGGGACAGGGACACAGTGACAGTGACACGGGTACGGTTGTGCTTCGAGATGGAGGTGAGGGACAGGGACAGTGACACAGTGACAGTGACACAGTGACACAGGGACGGGTGTGCTTCGAGATGGAGGTGAGGGACAGGGACACAGTGACAGTGACACAGTGACAGGGACAGGGACACAGTGACAGTGACACGGGGACGGGTGTGCTTCGAGATGGAGTTGAGGGACAGGGACAGTGACACAGTGATAGTGACACAGTGACAGTGACAGTGTCACAGTGACAGTGACAGTGACACAGTGACAGGGACACAGTGACGCAGTGACAGTGACACAGTGACAGTGACACGGGGACGGGTGTGCTTCGAGATGGAGGTGAGGGACAGGGACACAGTGACAGTGACAGGAACGTGGGGACCGTGACACAGGGACATGTGGACAGTGACACAGGGACAGTGACAGGAACGTGGGGACAGTGGCAGTGTCAGGGGCACAGTGACAGTGACAGGGACATGGGGACAGTGACTGTGACAGTGACATGGGGACAGGGATAGGGGTATGGTGACAGTGACATGGGGACAGGGACAGTGACACAGTGATAGGGACAGGGACACGGGGACAGGGACAGGGACATGGGCAGTGGGAGATGGGGACAGTGGCGGACATGGGGACAGTGACACAGGGACATGGGGACAGTGACATGTCTTCGTGCTGGGTGATGGTGACAGGACCCAGTGACACTGACAGGTGCTGGTGACTGTGCCAGGTCTTGGTGGCAGTGTCATCTCACAGTGACAATGGCGGCTCCCTGTGGCACTGCCACCCCAATGTCCAGATGTCTCTGATGTCCCCACTGTCCCCAATGCCCCCAATGCCCCAAATGTCCCCAGTGTCCCCAGTGTCCCTCATGTCCCCCCAATGTCCCCCCGTCCCCATTGTCCCCAATGTCCCCACTGTCCCCAATGCCTCCCCAATGTCCCCACTGTCCCCAATGTCCCCACTGTCCCCAATGTCCCCAATGCCCCCAATGCCCCCAATGTCCCCAATGTCCCCAATCCCTCCAATGTCCCCACTGTCCCCAGTGTCCCCAATGTCCCCAATGTCCCCAATCCCTCCAATGTCCCCAGTGTCCCCAGTGTCCCCAATGTCCCCAATGTCCCCAGTCCCTCCAATGTCCCCAATGCCCCCAATGTCCCCACTGTCCCCAGTGTCCCCAGTGTCCCCAGTGTCCCCAATGCCCCCAATGTCCCCAGTGTCCCCAGTGTCCCCAATGCCCCCAATGTCCCCAATGTCCCCACTGTCCCCAATCCCTCCAATGTCCCCAATGCCCCCCCAGTGTCCCCAGTGTCCCCAATGCCCCCCCAGTGTCCCCAGTGTCCCCATTGGTGTCCCCACAATGTCCCCAGGTGCTGGAGCCGATCCCCGTTCAGCAGCTGCCGCCCTCAGAGCCCGACCCGCACGTGGTGAGAGTGGGCTGGTCCCTGGACACCTGCGGCACACAGCTGGGTCAGTAATGTCACCTGTGTCACCTAATGTCACCTAATGTCACCAAATAATGTCCCCCAATGTCCCTGGACACCTGCGGCACCCAGCTGGGTCAGTAATGTCACCTGTGTCACCTAATGTCACCTAATGTCACCAAATAATGTCCCCCAATGTCCCTGGACACCTGCGGCACCCAGCTGGGTCAGTGTCACCTGTGTCACCTAATGTCACCTAATGTCACCAAATAATGTCCCCCAATGTCCCTGGACACCTGCGGCACACAGCTGGGTCAGTGTCACCTGTGTCACCTAATGTCACCTAATGTCACCAAATAATGTCCCCCAATGTCCCTGGACACCTGCGGCACCCAGCTGGGTCAGTGTCACCTGTGTCACCTAATGTCACCTAATGTCACCAAATAATGTCCCCCAATGTCCCTGGACACCTGCAGCACACAGCTGGGTCAGTAATGTCACCTGTGTCACCTAATGTCACCTAATGTCACCAAATAATGTCCCCCAATGTCCCTGGACACCTGCGGCACACAGCTGGGTCAGTAATGTCACCTAATGTCACCTAATGTCACCTAATGTCACCAAATAATGTCCCCCAATGTCCCTGGACACCTGCGGCACCCAGCTGGGTCAGTAATGTCACCTGTGTCACCTAATGTCACCTAATGTCACCAAATAATGTCCCCCAATGTCCCTGGACACCTGCGGCACACAGCTGGGTCAGTAATGTCACCTGTGTCACCTAATGTCACCTAATGTCACCAAATAATGTCCCCCAATGTCCCTGGACACCTGCGGCACACAGCTGGGTCAGTAATGTCACCTGTGTCACCTAATGTCACCTAATGTCACCAAATAATGTCCCCCAATGTCCCTGGACACCTGCGGCACACAGCTGGGTCAGTAATGTCACCTGTGTCACCTAATGTCACCTAATGTCACCAAATAATGTCCCCCAATGTCCCTGGACACCTGCGGCACCCAGCTGGGTCAGTAATGTCACCTGTGTCACCTAATGTCACCTAATGTCACCTAATGTCACCAAATAATGTCCCCCCATGTCCCTGGACACCTGCGGCACACAGCTGGGTCAGTAATGTCACCTGTGTCACCTAATGTCACCTAATGTCACCAAATAATGTCCCCCAATGTCCCTGGACACCTGCGGCACACAGCTGGGTCAGTAATGTCACCTGTGTCACCTAATGTCACCTAATGTCACCAAATAATGTCCCCCAATGTCCCTGGACACCTGCGGCACCCAGCTGGGTCAGTAATGTCACCTGTGTCACCTAATGTCACCTAATGTCACCAAATAATGTCCCCCAAATGTCCCTGGACACCTGCGGCACACAGCTGGGTCAGTAATGTCACCTGTGTCACCTAATGTCACCTAATGTCACCAAATAATGTCCCCCAATGTCCCTGGACACCTGCGGCACACAGCTGGGTCAGTGTCACCTGTGTCACCTAATGTCACCTAATGTCACCAAATAATGTCCCCCAATGTCCCTGGACACCTGCGGCACACAGCTGGGTCAGTGTCACCTGTGTCACCTAATGTCACCTAATGTCACCAAATAATGTCCCCCCATGTCCCTGGACACCTGCGGCACACAGCTGGGTCAGTAATGTCACCTGTGTCACCTAATGTCACCTAATGTCACCAAATAATGTCCCCCAATGTCCCTGGACACCTGCGGCACACAGCTGGGTCAGTAATGTCACCTGTGTCACCTAATGTCACCTAATGTCACCAAATAATGTCCCCCAATGTCCCTGGACACCTGCGGCACCCAGCTGGGTCAGTAATGTCACCTGTGTCACCTAATGTCACCTAATGTCACCAAATAATGTCCCCCAATGTCCCTGGACACCTGCGGCACCCAGCTGGGTCAGTAATGTCACCTGTGTCACCTAATGTCACCTAATGTCACCAAATAATGTCCCCCAATGTCCCTGGACACCTGCGGCACCCAGCTGGGTCAGTAATGTCACCTAATGTCACCTAATGTCACCTAATGTCACCAAATAATGTCCCCCAATGTCCCTGGACACCTGCGGCACACAGCTGGGTCAGTAATGTCACCTGTGTCACCTAATGTCACCTAATGTCACCAAATAATGTCCCCCAATGTCCCTGGACACCTGCGGCACCCAGCTGGGTCAGTGTCACCTGTGTCACCTAATGTCACCTAATGTCACCAAATAATGTCCCCCAATGTCCCTGGACACCTGCGGCACACAGCTGGGTCAGTAATGTCACCTGTGTCACCTAATGTCACCTAATGTCACCAAATAATGTCCCCCAATGTCCCTGGACACCTGCGGCACCCAGCTGGGTCAGTGTCACCTGTGTCACCTAATGTCACCTAATGTCACCAAATAATGTCCCCCAATGTCCCTGGACACCTGCGGCACACAGCTGGGTCAGTAATGTCACCTAATGTCACCTAATGTCACCTAATGTCACCAAATAATGTCCCCCAATGTCCCTGGACACCTGCGGCACCCAGCTGGGTCAGTAATGTCACCTGTGTCACCTAATGTCACCTAATGTCACCAAATAATGTCCCCCAATGTCCCTGGACACCTGCGGCACACAGCTGGGTCAGTAATGTCACCTAATGTCACCTAATGTCACCTAATGTCACCAAATAATGTCCCCCAATGTCCCTGGACACCTGCGGCACACAGCTGGGTCAGTGTCACCTGTGTCACCTAATGTCACCTAATGTCACCAAATAATGTCCCCCAATGTCCCTGGACACCTGCGGCACACAGCTGGGTCAGTAATGTCACCTGTGTCACCTGTGTCACCTAATGTCACCAAATAATGTCCCCCAATGTCCCTGGACACCTGCGGCACCCAGCTGGGTCAGTAATGTCACCTGTGTCACCTAATGTCACCTAATGTCACCAAATAATGTCCCCCAATGTCCCTGGACACCTGCGGCACCCAGCTGGGTCAGTAATGTCACCTGTGTCACCTAATGTCACCTAATGTCACCAAATAATGTCCCCCAATGTCCCTGGACACCTGCGGCACACAGCTGGGTCAGTAATGTCACCTGTGTCACCTAATGTCACCTAATGTCACCAAATAATGTCCCCCAATGTCCCTGGACACCTGCGGCACCCAGCTGGGTCAGTGTCACCTGTGTCACCTAATGTCACCTAATGTCACCAAATAATGTCCCCCAATGTCCCTGGACACCTGCGGCACACAGCTGGGTCAGTAATGTCACCTGTGTCACCTAATGTCACCTAATGTCACCAAATAATGTCCCCCAATGTCCCTGGACACCTGCGGCACCCAGCTGGGTCAGTGTCACCTGTGTCACCTAATGTCACCTAATGTCACCAAATAATGTCCCCCAATGTCCCTGGACACCTGCGGCACACAGCTGGGTCAGTAATGTCACCTAATGTCACCTAATGTCACCTAATGTCACCAAATAATGTCCCCCAATGTCCCTGGACACCTGCGGCACCCAGCTGGGTCAGTAATGTCACCTGTGTCACCTAATGTCACCTAATGTCACCAAATAATGTCCCCCAATGTCCCTGGACACCTGCGGCACACAGCTGGGTCAGTAATGTCACCTAATGTCACCTAATGTCACCTAATGTCACCAAATAATGTCCCCCAATGTCCCTGGACACCTGCGGCACACAGCTGGGTCAGTGTCACCTGTGTCACCTAATGTCACCTAATGTCACCAAATAATGTCCCCCAATGTCCCTGGACACCTGCGGCACACAGCTGGGTCAGTAATGTCACCTGTGTCACCTGTGTCACCTAATGTCACCAAATAATGTCCCCCAATGTCCCTGGACACCTGCGGCACCCAGCTGGGTCAGTAATGTCACCTGTGTCACCTAATGTCACCTAATGTCACCAAATAATGTCCCCCAATGTCCCTGGACACCTGCGGCACCCAGCTGGGTCAGTAATGTCACCTGTGTCACCTAATGTCACCTAATGTCACCAAATAATGTCCCCCAATGTCCCTGGACACCTGCGGCACACAGCTGGGTCAGTAATGTCACCTGTGTCACCTGTGTCACCTAATGTCACCAAATAATGTCCCCCAATGTCCCTGGACACCTGCGGCACCCAGCTGGGTCAGTAATGTCACCTGTGTCACCTAATGTCACCTAATGTCACCAAATAATGTCCCCCAATGTCCCTGGACACCTGCGGCACCCAGCTGGGTCAGTGTCACCTGTGTCACCTAATGTCACCTAATGTCACCAAATAATGTCCCCCAATGTCCCTGGACACCTGCGGCACCCAGCTGGGTCAGTAATGTCACCTAATGTCACCTAATGTCACCTAATGTCACCAAATAATGTCCCCCAATGTCCCTGGACACCTGCGGCACACAGCTGGGTCAGTGTCACCTGTGTCACCTAATGTCACCTAATGTCACCAAATAATGTCCCCCAATGTCCCTGGACACCTGCGGCACCCAGCTGGGTCAGTAATGTCACCTGTGTCACCTAATGTCACCTAATGTCACCTAATAATGTCCCCCAATGTCCCTGGACACCTGCGGCACCCAGCTGGGTCAGTAATGTCACCTGTGTCACCTAATGTCACCTAATGTCACCAAATAATGTCCCCCAATGTCCCTGGACACCTGCGGCACACAGCTGGGTCAGTGTCACCTGTGTCACCTAATGTCACCTAATGTCACCAAATAATGTCCCCCAATGTCCCTGGACACCTGCGGCACACAGCTGGGTCAGTAATGTCACCTGTGTCACCTAATGTCACCTAATGTCACCAAATAATGTCCCCCAATGTCCCTGGACACCTGCGGCACCCAGCTGGGTCAGTAATGTCACCTAATGTCACCTAATGTCACCTAATGTCACCAAATAATGTCCCCCAATGTCCCTGGACACCTGCGGCACCCAGCTGGGTCAGTAATGTCACCTAATGTCACCTAATGTCACCTAATGTCACCAAATAATGTCCCCCAATGTCCCTGGACACCTGCGGCACACAGCTGGGTCAGTAATGTCACCTGTGTCACCTAATGTCACCTAATGTCACCAAATAATGTCCCCCAATGTCCCTGGACACCTGCGGCACCCAGCTGGGTCAGTAATGTCACCTGTGTCACCTAATGTCACCTAATGTCACCAAATAATGTCCCCCAATGTCCCTGGACACCTGCGGCACCCAGCTGGGTCAGTAATGTCACCTAATGTCACCTAATGTCACCTAATGTCACCAAATAATGTCCCCCAATGTCCCTGGACACCTGCGGCACCCAGCTGGGTCAGTAATGTCACCTGTGTCACCTAATGTCACCTAATGTCACCAAATAATGTCCCCCAATGTCCCTGGACACCTGCGGCACACAGCTGGGTCAGTAATGTCACCTGTGTCACCTGTGTCACCTAATGTCACCAAATAATGTCCCCCAATGTCCCTGGACACCTGCGGCACACAGCTGGGTCAGTAATGTCACCTGTGTCACCTAATGTCACCTAATGTCACCAAATAATGTCCCCCAATGTCCCTGGACACCTGCGGCACACAGCTGGGTCAGTAATGTCACCTGTGTCACCTAATGTCACCTAATGTCACCAAATAATGTCCCCCAATGTCCCTGGACACCTGCGGCACACAGCTGGGTCAGTAATGTCACCTGTGTCACCTAATGTCACCTAATGTCACCAAATAATGTCCCCCAATGTCCCCAATGTCCCTGGACTCGTGCAGCACCCAGCTGGGTCAGTGTCACCCATGTCCCCAAGTGTCCCCAAATAATGTCCCCAATGTCCCCAAATGAGCCCAAATAATGTCCCCAAATGTCACCAAAAGTCCCCCCAATGTCCCCAATGTCCTCAATGTCCCCAATCCCCCCAATGTCCCCAAAGTCCCCAAATGTCCCCAATGTCCCCAATGTCTCCTCCCCCTCCCTGGAATTTTGGGTCTGGGTTGGGAATTTTTGGGTGGAATTTTTGTGGAATTTTTGTGAATTTTTGGGTGAATTTTTGGGTGGAATTTTTGTGGATCTTGTTCTCCCTGCTGGGAATTTTTGGGTGGAATTTTTGGGAATTTTTGGGAATTTTTGGGAATTTTTGGGTGGAATTTTTGTGGATTTTGTTCTCCCTGCTGGGAATTTTTGGGTTGAATTTTTGGGTGGAATTTTTGTGAATTTTTGTGTGTAATTTTTGTGGAATTTTTGTGAATTTTTGGGTGGAATTTTTGTGGATTTTGTTCTCTCTGCTGGGAATTTTTGGGTGGAATTTTTGGGAATTTTGGGGAATTTTTGGGTGGAATTTTTGGGTGGATGTTTTGTGAATTTTTGGGGGGAATTTTTGGGTGGAATTTTTGGGAATTTTTGGGTGGAATTTTTGGGAATTCTTGTGGAATTTTTGTGGAATTTTTGTGAATTTTTGGGTGGAATTTTTGGGGATTTTGTTCTCTCTGCTGGGAATTTTTGGGTGGAATTTTTGGGAATTTTTGGGAATTTTGGGGAATTTTTGGGTGGAATTTTTGTGGATTTTGTTCTCTCTGCTGGGAATTTTTGGGTTGAATTTTTGGGTGGAATTTTTGTGAATTTTTGTGAAATTTTTGTGAATTTTTGTGTGGAATTTTTGTGGAATTTTTGTGAATTTTTGGGTGGAATTTTTGTGGATTTTGTTTTCCCTGCCAGGAATTTTTGGGTGGAATTTTTGGGTGGAAGTTTTGTGAATTTTTGGGGGGAATTTTTGGGTGGAATTTTTGGGAATTTTTGGGTGGAATTTTTGGGAATTCTTGTGGAATTTTTGTGGAATTTTTGTGAATTTTTGGGTGGAATTTTTGTGAATTTTGGGGAATTTTTGGGTGGAATTTTTGTGGATTTTGTTCTCTCTGCTGGGAATTTTTGGGTGAAATTTTTGTGGAATTTTTGGGAATTTTTGTGAAATTTTTGTGGATTTTTTGTGGTGGATGTTTTGTGGATTTTTGGGTTGAATTTTTGTGAATTTTTGGGTGGAATTTTTGTGGAATTTTTGTGAATTTTTGTGAAATTTTTGTGAATTTTTGTGTGTAATTTTTGTGGATTTCCGTTATTTGCCGTTTTTCCCAATTTCGCGCGTTTTGCCCCCAGGGGAGGAGCCGTTCTCCTACGGCTACGGCGGCACCGGCCGCAAATCCTGCGACGGAAAATTCCAGAACTACGGAGCCAAGTTCGGCCCGGGCGACGTCATCGCCTGCCTGGCGGTGAGACAGGGGGGGAAATGGGGCAAAAAGAGGGGAAATTGGGAAAACTGGGGGGAAATTGGTGAAAATCGGGAGAAATTTGGGAGAAATTTGGGGAAAATTGGGGAGAAAATTGGGAGAAAATTGATGAAAATTAGGAGAAAATTGGGGAGAAAATTGGGGAGAAAATTGGGGAGAAAATTGGGGAGAAAATGGGAGAAAATTGACAAAAATTGGGATTTTGGGGATTTTGGGAGTCTGGAGATTTGGGATTTTCAGACTTTCAGATCCTGGAATTCCGGGATCCTGGAGATTTTGGGATGGTGCAGTTCTGGGATTTTGGGTCGCTGTGATCCTGGGATTTGGGAATTTTGGAGTTTCTGGGGTCCTGGAATTTTGTGATCCTCTGATTTTGGGATTCTGGGATTTTGGGACTCAGGACATTTTGGGATCCTGGAGATTTGGGATTTTCAGATTTTGGGGTTTTGAGATCCTCCAATTGTGAGATTTTGGGATCCTGAAATTCCGGGATCCTGGAGATTTGGGATCGTGCAATTCCGGAGTTCTGGGATTTCCGGATTTTGGGATTTTGGGATCCTGGAATTGTGGGATCCTCTGATTTTGGGATTCTGGAGATTTGGGATCTCAGGGTTCTGGGATTTTTGGATTTTGGGATTCTGGAGATTTGGGACTTTCAGATTTTGGGATTTTGAGATCCTGGGGATTTTGTGATCCTCTGATTTTGGGATTCTGGAGATTTGGGATCTTGGGGTTCTGGAGATTTGGGATTTTCAGATTCTGGGATTTTGTGATCCTGAAATTCCGGGATCCTGGAGATTTTGGGATGGTGCAGTTCTGGGATTTTGGGTCGCTGTGATCCTGGGATTTGGGAATTTTGGAGTTTCTGGGGTCCTGGAATTTTGTGATCCTCTGATTTTGGGATTCTGGGATTTTGGGACTCAGGACATTTTGGGATCCTGGAGATTTGGGATTTTCAGATTTTGGGGTTTTGAGATCCTCCAATTGTGAGATTTTGGGATCCTGAAATTCCGGGATCCTGGAGATTTGGGATCGTGCAATTCCGGAGTTCTGGGATTTCCGGATTTTGGGATTTTGGGATCCTGGAATTGTGGGATCCTCTGATTTTGGGATTCTGGGATTTTGGATCTCAGGGTTCTGGGATTTTTGGATTTTGGGATTCTGGAGATTTGGGACTTTCAGATTTTGGGATTTTTGGGATCCTGGGGATTTTGTGATCCTCTGATTTTGGGATTCTGGAGATTTGGGATCTTGGGGTTCTGGAGATTTGGGATTTTCAGATTTTGGGATTTTGTGATCCTGAAATTCCGGGATCCTGGAGATTTGGGATCGTGCAATTCCGGAGTTCTGGGATTTTCGGATTTTGGGATTCTGGGATTTTGAGGTCCTGGAATTCCGGGATCCTGGAGATTTTGGGATGGTGCAGTTCTGGGATTTTGGGTCGGTGTGATCCTGGGATTTGGGAATTTTGGAGTTTCTGGGTTCCTGGAATTTTGTGATCCTCTGATTTTGGGATTCTGGAGATTTGAGATCTTGTGGTTCTGCGATTTTGGGATTTTGAGATCCTGAAATTCTGGGATCCTGGAGATTTGGGATCGTGCAATTCCAGAGTTCTGGGATTTTCAGATTTTGGAATTTTGGGATCCCGGGGATTTTGTGATCCTCTGGTTTTGGGGTTTTGGGGTTCTGGACATTTGGGATCTCGGAGCTCTGGAGTTCTGGGATTTTCAGATTTCGGGATTTTGAGATCCTGGAATTGTGGGGTTGTGGGATTTGGGATTTTGTGCTTTTTCTTGCCCTTTTTTTCCTTCTTTTATCCATTCTTGGCCATTCATCCAGTGTTTTTCCACCGTTTATCACCGTTTTTTCACCATTTCTCACCATTTTTTCACCGTTTTTCACTGTTTTTACCATTTTTTCCCCCGTTTTTCCCATTTTCTCAGGATTTCGAGGCCGGGGACGAGGTGGAGCTGTCGTTCCTGAAGAATGGGCAGTGCCAGGGGGTGGGGGTCGTTTTGACCATTTCTCACCATTTCTGTGTCGTTTTTTTGCTGATTTTTGTCATTTTTTCACCGTTTTTCCCCGTTTTTTCCCCGTTTTTCCCCATTTTTTAGGATTTCGAGGCCGGGGACGAGGTGGAGCTGTCGTTCCTGAGGAACGGGCAGTGCCAGGGGGTGGGGGTCGTTTTGACCATTTCTCACCATTTCTGTGTCCTTTTTTCCCCGTTTTTCCCCATTTTTTCGCCATTTTTCCCCATTTTTTCCCCGTTTTTCCCCATTTTCCAGGATTTCGAGGCCGGGGACGAGGTGGAGCTGTCGTTCCTGAGGAACGGGCAGTGCCAGGGCGTGGGGGTCGTTTTGACCATTTCTCACCATTTCTGTGTCCTTTTTTTGCTGATTTTTGTCATTTTTTCCCCGTTTTTCCCCGTTTTTTCCCCGTTTTTCCCCATTTTTCATGATTTCGAGGCCGGGGACGAGGTGGAGCTGTCGTTCCTGAGGAACGGGCAGTGCCAGGGGGTGGGGGTCGTTTTGACCATTTCTCACCATTTCTGTGTCCTTTTTTCCCCGTTTTTCCCCATTTTTCCCCGTTTTTCCCCGTTTTTTCCCCGTTTTTCCCCCGTTTTCCCCATTTTCCAGGATTTCGAGGCCGGGGACGAGGTGGAGCTGTCGTTCCTGAAGAACGGGCGGTGCCAGGGGGTGCCCTTGGGTTGGGTTTTGTCCGTTTCTCACCATTTCTGTGCCATTGTTTGGCCGTTTCTCACCATTTTTTCACCGTTTTTTCCCGTTTTTTCCCCGTTTTTCCCCCATTTTCCAGGATTTCGAGGCCGGTGAGGACATGGAGCTGTCCTTCCTGAAGAACGGGCAGTGCCAGGGGGTGGGGGTCGTTTTGACCATTTCTCACCATTTCTGTGTCCTTTTTTCCCCGTTTTTCCCCGTTTTTTCCCCGTTTTTCCCCGTTTTTTCCCCGTTTTTCCCCATTTTCCAGGATTTCGAGGCCGGGGACGAGGTGGAGCTGTCGTTCCTGAAGAACGGGCGGTGCCAGGGCGTGGCGTTCCGCGTGCCCAAGCCGCTCCTGGCCGGCCGGGCGCTGTTCCCCCACGTGCTGGTCAAGAACTGCGGCGTCCGACTCAACTTCGGGCAGCGCCCGCGGCCGCTGCGGCCCCTGCCCCCGGGGGGCGCCATGGTGCAGGACGTGCCGGACGGACACCGCCACAGGGGGACACGGGGACCGCGGACAAAGGCTGAATGTGAGGTGGGGACAGTGGGGACATCATGGGGACATTGGGGACATTGGGGACACTGTGGGGATGGACATTGGGGACACTGCCCCTGGGGGGCGCCATGGTGCAGGACGTGCCGGACGGACACCGCGACAGGGGGACACGGGGACCGCGGACAAAGGCCGAGTGCGAGGTGGGGACATTGGGGACATCATGGGGACATTGGGGACACTGTGGGGATGGACATTGGGGTCACTGCCCCCGGGGGGCGCCATGGTGCAGGACGTGCCGGATGGACACCGCGACAGGGGGACACGGGGACCGCGGACAAAGGCCGAGTGTGAGGTGGGGACATTGGGGACACCCTGGGGACATTGGGGACACTGTGGGGATGGACATTGGGGACACTGTGGGGTCACTGCCCCCGGGGGGCGCCATGGTGCAGGACGTGCCGGACGGACACCGCGACAGGGGGACACGGGGACCGCGGACAAAGGCTGAGTGCGAGGTGGGGACATTGGGGACATTGGGGACACTGTGGGGATGGACATTGGGGACATTGGGGACACTGTGGGAATGGACATTGGGGACATTGGGGACACTGTGGGGATGGACATTGGGGTCACTGCCCCCGGGGGGCGCCATGGTGCAGGACGTGCCGGACGGACACAGGGACAGGGGGACACGGGGACCGCGGACAAAGGCTGAATGTGAGGTGGGGACAGTGGGGACATTGGGGACACTGTGGGGATGGACATTGGGGACATTGGGGACATCATTGGGGACACTGTGGGGATGGACACTGGGGACATTGGGGACATCATTGGGGACACTGTGGGGATGGACACTGGGGACATTGGGGACATTGGGGACACTGTGGGGATGGACATTGGGGACATTGGGGACATTAGGGACACTGTGGGGTCACTGCCCCCGGGGGGCGCCATGGTGCAGGACGTGCCGGACGGACACCGCAACAGGGGGACACGGGGACCGCGGACAAAGGCTGAGTGCGAGGTGGGGACATTGGGGACATCATGGGGACATTGGGGACACTGTGGGGATGGACACTGGGGACATTGGGGACATTAGGGACACTGTGGGGATGGACACTGGGGACATTGGGGACATTGGGGACACTGTGGGGATGGACATTGGGGACACTGTGGGGATGGACATTGGGGACATTGGGGACATTGGGGACACTGTGGGGATGGACATTGGGGTCACTGCCCCCGGGGGGCGCCATGGTGCAGGACGTGCCGGACGGACACAGGGACAGGGGGACACGGGGACCGCGGACAAAGGCTGAGTGCGAGGTGGGGACAGTGGGGACATCATGGGGACACTGTGGGGTCACTGCCCCCGGGGGGCGCCATGGTGCAGGACGTGCCGGACGGACACCGCGACAGGGGGACACGGGGACCGCGGACAAAGGCCGAGTGCGAGGTGGGGACAGTGGGGACATTGGGGACATTGTGGGGATTGGGGACATTGGGGTGACATTGAGGGGACATTGGGGACACTGGGATGGGTCACAGTGACACCGGGGTGGCTCTGGGGGTGTCCCATCCCCAAGGTGACACCAATGTCCCCAGTGTCCCCATTGTCCCCACAGATGCTGATGATGGTGGGGCTGCCGGGGTGGCTCTGAGGGGACACTGGGGTGGCCCTGGGGGTGTCCCCAATGTCCCCATTGATGCCCCCCAATGTCTCCAATGTCTCCAATCCCTTATGATGTCCCCAATGTCCCCAATGTCCCCACTGTCCCCATTGCTGTCCCCAGGTGCTGCTGATGGCGGGGCTATCAGGGTGACCCTGTCAGTGTCCCCAGTGTCCCCAATGTCCCCATTGATGTCCCCATTGTCCCCAGGTGCTGCTGATGGTGGGGCTCCCCAATGTCCCCACTGTCCCCATTGATGTCCCCATTGTCCCCATTGTCCCCAGGTGCTGCTGATGGTGGGGCTCCCGGGCGCGGGGAAGGGTCACAGTGCCACCCCAATGTCCCCAATGTCCCCATTGTCCCCAGGTGCTGCTGATGGTGGGGCTGTGAGGGTGACCCTGTCCGTGTCCCCAGTGTCCCCATTGATGTCCCCAATGTCCCCATTAATGTCCCCAGGTGCTGCTGCTGGTGGGGCTCCCGGGCGCGGGGAAGGGGCACAGTGCCACCCCAATGTCCCCATTAATGTCCCCACTGTCCCCAGGTGCTGCTGATGGTGGGGCTCCCCAATGTCCCCACTGTCCCCATTGCTGTCCCCAATGTCCCCAATGTCCCCAGGTGCTGCTGATGGTGGGGCTGTCATGGTGACCCTGTCCGTGTCCCCAATGTCCCCATTGTCCCCACTGTCCCCAGGTGCTGCTGATGGTGGGGCTGTCATGGTGACCCTGTCCGTGTCCCCAGTGTCCCCATTAATGTCCCCAATGTCCCCATTAATGTCCCCAGGTGCTGCTGATGGTGGGGCTCCCGGGCGCGGGGAAGAGGCACAGTGCCACCCCAGTGTCCCCAATGTCCCCATTAATGTCCCCAGGTGCTGCTGCTGGTGGGGCTCCCGGGCGCGGGGAAGGGGCACAGTGCCACCCCAATGTCCCCAATGTCCCCATTGATGTCCCCAATGTCCCCACTGTCCCCAGGTGCTGCTGATGGTGGGGGTCCCCAGTGTCCCCAATGTCCCCAATGTCCCCATTGATGTCCCCAATGTCCCCACTGTCCCCAGGTGCTGCTGATGGTGGGGGTCCCCAGTGTCCCCAATGTCCCCAATGTCCCCATTGATGTCCCCAATGTCCCCACTGTCCCCAGGTGCTGCTGATGGTGGGGGTCCCCAGTGTCCCCACTGTCCCCAATGTCCCCATTGATGTCCCCAATGTCCCCAATGTCCCCAGGTGCTGCTGCTGGTGGGGCTCCCGGGCGCGGGGAAGACGACGTGGGCGCTGCGTCACGCGGCCGAGAACCCCCAGAAGAGATTCAACATCCTGGGGACCAACGCCATCATGGACAGGATGAGGGTGGGGGACAATGGGGACATCAATGGGGACAGTGGGGACAGTGGGGACATCCTGGGGACCAACGCCATCATGGACAGGATGAGGGTGGGGGACATTGGGGACATTGGGGACATTGGGGACATTGGGGACATCCTGGGCACCAACGCCATCATGGACAGGATGAGGGTGGGGACATTGGGGACATTGGGGACATTGGGGACATCCTGGGCACCAACGCCATCATGGACAGGATGAGGGTGGGGACATTGGGGACATTGGGGACATTGGGGACATCCTGGGCACCAACGCCATCATGGACAGGATGAGGGTGGGGACATTGGGGACATCCTGGGGACATTGGGGACATTGGGGACATCCTGGGCACCAACGCCATCATGGACAGGATGAGGGTGGGGACATTGGGGACATCCTGGGGACAGTGGGGACATCCTGGGGACCAACGCCATCATGGACAGGATGAGGGTGGGGACATTGGGGACATCAATGGGGACAGTGGGGACATCCTGGGCACCAACGCCATCATGGACAGATGAGGGTGGGGACATTGGGGACATTGGGGACATCCTGGGCACCAACGCCATCATGGACAGGATGAGGGTGGGGACATCAATGGGGACATTGGGGACAGTGGGGACATCCTGGGCACCAACGCCATCATGGACAGGATGAGGGTGGGGACAATGGGGACAGTGGGGACATTGGGGACATCCTGGGCACCAACGCCATCATGGACAGGATGAGGGTGGGGACATTGGGGACATTGGGGACATTGGGGACATCCTGGGGACCAACGCCATCATGGACAGGATGAGGGTGGGGACATCAATGGGGACATCCTGGGGACAGTGGGACATCCTGGGCACCAACGCCATCATGGACAGGATGAGGGTGGGGACAATGGGGACAGTGGGGACATTGGGGACATCCTGGGCACCAACGCCATCATGGACAGGATGAGGGTGGGGACATCAATGGGGACATTGGGGACATCCTGGGCACCAACGCCATCATGGACAGGATGAGGGTGGGGACATCAATGGGGACAATGGGGACATTGGGGACATCCTGGGGACATCCTGGGCACCACGCCATCATGGACAGGATGAGGGTGGGGACAGTGGGGACAGCAATGGGGACAGTGGGGACATTGGGGACATTGGGGACATCCTGGGCACCAACGCCATCATGGACAGGATGAGGGTGGGGACATTGGGGACATTGGGGACAGCGGGGACATCCTGGGCACCAACGCCATCATGGACAGGATGAGGGTGGGGACAGTGGGGGACAGCAATGGGGACAGTGGGGACATCCTGGGCACCAACGCCATCATGGACAGGATGAGGGTGGGGACAATGGGGACAGTGGGGACATTGGGGACATCCTGGGCACCAACGCCATCATGGACAGGATGAGGGTGGGGACATTGGGGACATTGGGGACATCCTGGGGACATCCTGGGCACCAACGCCATCATGGACAGGATGAGGGTGGGGACATTGGGGACATTGGGGACAGCGGGGACATCCTGGGCACCAACGCCATCATGGACAGGATGAGGGTGGGGACAGTGGGGACAGCAATGGGGACAGTGGGGACATCCTGGGCACCAACGCCATCATGGACAGGATGAGGGTGGGGACATTGGGGACATTGGGGACATTGGGGACATCCTGGGCACCAACGCCATCATGGACAGGATGAGGGTGGGGACATTGGGGACATTGGGGACATTGGGGACATCCTGGGCACCAACGCCATCATGGACAGGATGAGGGTGGGGACATTGGGGACATTGGGGACATCCTGGGGACATCCTGGGCACCAACGCCATCATGGACAGGATGAGGGTGGGGACAGTGGGGACAGCAATGGGGACAGTGGGGACATCCTGGGGACGTCCTGGGGACATTGCGGACACAGGGATGGCTCTGGGAGTGTGACAGGTGACACAGGTGTGTGACAGGTGACACGGCTGTGACAGATGTGACACAGGTGTGTGACAGGGGTGTGGCAGGTGACACAGGGTGTGTGACAGGTGACACAGAGGTGTGACAGGTGTGTGACAGGTGACACAGGGTGTGACAGGTGACACAGGTGTGTGACAGGGGGTGGCAGGTGACACAGGTGTGTGACAGGTGACACAGGTGTGTGACAGGTGACACAGGTGTGTGACAGGGGTGTGACAGGTGACACTGGTGGTGTGACAGGGGTGTGACAGGTGACACAGGACTGGCTCTGGGGGTGTGACAGGTGACACAGGTGCGTGACACAGGTGTGACAGAGGTGTGACAGAGGTGTGACAATGACAGTGTCACCTGTCCCCAGGTGATGGGATTAAGAAGACAGCGGAAATACGGCGGGCACTGGGACGCGCTGATCCAGCAGGGCTGGGACAGGGGGTGACACTGGGGTGGCACTGGGGTGACACTGGGGGTGTCACACGGTGTCACATCAATGTCACACCTGTCCCCAGGTGTCGGGGTTAATAAGACAAAGGAATTGTGCAGGACGCTGGGACGCGCTGATCCAGCAGGGCTGGGACAGGGGGGTGACACTGGGGACACTGGGTGTGACAATGACACAGGACTGGCTCTGGGGGTGTCACAGCCCCCAGGTGACACAGTGACACCAATGTCACCTGTCCCCAGGTGATGGGTCTCAGGAGACAAAGGAACTGTGCAGGGCGCTGGGACGTGCTGATCCAGCAGGGCTGGGACAGGGGACACTGGGGACACTGGGGTGTGACAATGGGGACACTGGGGTGACACAGGTGTGTGACACTGCTGTCACACCTGTCCCCAGGTGTCAGGGTTAATAAGACAGAGGAACTGTGCAGATTGCTGGGACGCGCTGATCCAGCAGGGCTGGGACAGGGGGTGACACTGGGGTGACACTGGGGTGACACTGGGGTGGCACAGGGGTGGCTCTGGGGGTGTCACACGGTGTCACATCAATGTCACACCTGTCCCCAGGTGTCGGGGTTAATAAGACAAAGGAATTGTGCAGATTGCTGGGACGCGCTGATCCAGCAGGGCTGGGACAGGGGGTGACACTGGGGTGACACTGGGGTGACACTGGGGTGGCACAGGGGTGGCTCTGGGGGTGTCACACGGTGTCACATCAATGTCACACCTGTCCCCAGGTGACGGGGTTAATAAGACAAAGGAATTGTGCAGATTGCTGGGACGCGCTGATCCAGCAGGGCTGGGACAGGGGACACTGGGGTGACACTGGTGGTGTGACAATGGGGACACTGGGGTGACACAGTGTGTGACACTGCTGTCACACCTGTCCCCAGGTGACGGGGGTTAATATGACAGAGGAACTGTGCAGATTGCTGGGACGCGCTGATCCAGCAGGGCTGGGACAGGGGGTGACACTGGGGTGACACTGGGGCTGTGACGGTGACACAGGGGTGGCTCTGGGGGTGTGACAGGTGTGACAGTGCCAGTGTCACCTGTCCCCAGGTGACGGGACTCCGCAGACAGCGGAACTACGCCGGGCGCTGGGAGGCGCTGATCGGCCGCGCCACGCGGTGCCTGAACCGCCTGATCCAGATCGCGGCCGGGAAACGCCGCAACTACATCCTGGACCAGGTGACACTGGGGACATCGATGGGGACACATCCTGGACCAGGTGACACTGGGGACATCGATGGGGACATCAGTGACACATCCTGGACCAGGTGACACTGGGGACATCGATGGGGACACATCCTGGACCAGGTGACACTGGGGGACATCGATGGGGACACATCCTGGACCAGGTGACACTGGGGACATCGATGGGGACATCGATGGGGACATCAGTGACACATCCTGGACCAGGTGACACTGGGGACATCGATGGGGGACATCGATGGGGACACATCCTGGACCAGGTGACACTGGGGACACTGGGGACATCGATGGGGACATCAATGACACATCCTGGACCAGGTGACACTGGGGACATCGATGGGGACACATCCTGGACCAGGTGACACTGGGGACATCGATGGGGGACATCGATGGGGACATCAGTGACACATCCTGGACCAGGTGACACTGGGGACATCGATGGGGACATCGATGGGGACACATCCTGGACCAGGTGACACTGGGGACATCAATGGGGACATCAATGGGGACATCAGTGACACATCCTGGGCCAGGGTGACATTGGGGACATTGGGGACATCAATGGGGACACTGGGGACATTGTCACCTCCATGGGGACATCACTGTCACCTCCTGGACCCGGTGACATCGGGGACATTGGGGACAACGGAGACTCTGGGGACATTGGGGACACTGGGGACACTGGGGACAACGGAGACTCTGGGGACATTGGGGACATCGCCGTCACCTCCCCAAACTCCGTTTCGAAGCAAACACGCTTAAAACCCCTACAACAAATCGCTAAAAATCCGAATTTTTCCCCCGTTTTTCCCCATTTTTGACCATTTTTCCCCTTTTTTGACTCAAATTTCCCCTTTTTTCCCCCAGACCAAGACGTGCAGCTCAGCCCAGGGGCGGAAAATGCACCCCCAAATCTCCTTTTGCAGTGAAAAAAGCTCAAAAATCCCCCAAAATCTCCAGAAATCCCCATTTCCCCCCGTCTTTTCCCAAATTTTCCTTTTTTTAACCCAAATTTTCCCAAATTTCTCATTTTTCACCCCAGACCAACGTCTACCTCTCGGCCCAGCGGCCTCGGAGGCTGCGTCCCCAAATCCTCCTTTCCCCCCCAAACCCTCCATTTTCAGGAAAACTGACTCCAAAAACCCCTAAAAAATCTGATTTTTCCCCGTTTTTTCCCAAATTTTCACCATTTTTCACTCAAATTTTCCCGTTTCTGTGTTTTTTCCCCCCAGACCAACATCCATGGCTCAGCCCAGCGCAGGAAGCTGCATCCTCCCCAAACCCTCCATTTTCAGTGAAACAAACTCCACAAACCCCTAAAAAATCGCTAAAAAATCCGCAGATTTTTCCCCGTTTTTCCCCATTTTTGACCGTTTTTCCCCTTTTCTGACCCAAATTTCCCCTTTTTCCCCCAGACCAAGACGCGCAGCTCAGCCCAGGGGCGAAAATGCACCCCCAAATCTCCTTTTGCAGGGAAAAAAGCTCGAAAATCCCCCCAAAATCTCCAGAAAATCCCATTTCCCCCGTCTTTTCCCAAATTTTCCTTTTTTTAACCCAAATTTCTCCTTTTCCCCCCAGACCAACGTCTACGTCTTGGCCCAGCACAGGAAGATGCGTCCCCAAATCCTCCTTTCCCTCCCCAAATCCTCCTTTCCCTCCTCAAATTCTTCTTTTCAGGAAAACCAACTCCAAAACCCCCTTGAAAATCACTAAAAAATCCGATTTTTCCCATTTTTCGCCTTTTTTAACCCAAATTTTCCTGTTTCTTTGGTTTTTCCCCCCAGACCAGCATCTATGGCTCCGCCCAGCGCAGGAAGATCCCTCCCTGTTTTGACTGACGACAACAAAAAAACCCCTAAAAAATCACAAAAAAATCCAATTTTTCCCCATTTTTTCCCATTTTTCACCATTTTTCACCCAAATTTTCCCGTTTCTTTGGTTTTTCCCCCCTGACCGACGTCCATGGCTCAGCCCAACGCAGAAAGAGACGACCTTCCCAAACCCCTCCTTTTTCACACAAACCGACTTTAAAAACCCCTAAAAAATTGCTAAAAACTCCGATTTTTTCCCAAATTGTCACCATTTCTCACCCACATTTTCCCGTTTCTTTGGTTTTCCCCCCCAGACCCAACGTGTACGGCTCAGCCCAGCACAGGAAGCTGCGTCCTCCCCAAACCCTCCTTTTTAGCCAAATAATCTCAAAATCCTCCAAAAATCGCTAAAAACTCCGATTTTTTCCCCGTTTTTTCCCAAATTTTCACCATTTTTCACCCAAATTTTCCCGTTTCTGTGTTTTTTCCCCCAGACCAACGTGTACGGTTGCGGCGCAGTGGCAGAAGCTGCGTCCTCCTCTTTCAGGAAAACTGCCTTCAAAACTCCCTAAAAAATCGCTAAAAACTCCGATTTTTTCCCTGTTTTTTCCCCATTTTTTCCCAAAATTCCATTTTTTGACCCAAATTTCCCTTTTTTCCCCCCCAGACCAACGTGTACAGCTCAGCCCAGTGCAGGAAGCTGCATCCTCCCCAAACTCTCCATTTTCACACAAACCAACTCCAAAACCCCTAAAAAATCGCTAAAAACTCCGATTTTTTCCCCGTTTTTTCCCAAATTGTCACCATTTTTCACCCAAATTTTCCCGTTCTGTGTTTTTTCCCCCCAGACCAACGCCTACGGCTCAGCCCCACACAGAAACAGGCAACCTCCCCAAATCCTCCATTTTCAGTGAAACAAACTCCAAAACCCCTAAAAAATCACAAAAAACTCCGATTTTTTCCCCGTTTTTTCCCAAATTTTCACCATTTTTCACCCAAATTTTCCCGTTTCTGTGTTTTTTCCCCCCAGACCAACGTGTACGGTTCGGCGCAGTGGCAGAAGCTGCGTCCTCCTCTTTCAGGAAAACTGCCTTCCCAAACTCCCTAAAAAATCGCTGAAAACTCCGATTTTTCCCCCTTTTCTCCCATTTTTTTCCCAAATTTCCATTTTTTGACCCAAATTTCCCATTTTTCCCCCCAGACCAACGTCCATGGCTCAGCCCAACGCAGAAAGAGACGACCTTCCCAACCCTCCTTTTCACACAAACCGACTTTAAAAACCCCTAAAAAATTGCTAAAAACTCCGATTTTTTCCCAAATTTTCACCATTTCTCACCCACATTTTCCCGTTTCTTTGGTTTTTCCCCCCAGACCAACGTGTACAGCTCAGCCCAGTGCAGGAAGCTGCGTCCTCCCCAAACCCTCCATTTTCAGTGAAACAAACTCCAAAACCCCTAAAAAATCGCTAAAAACTCCGATTTTTTCCCCGTTTTTTCCCAAATTGTCACCATTTTTCACCCAAATTTTCCCATTTCTGTGTTTTTTCCCCCCAGACCAACGCCTACGGCTCAGCCCCACACAGAAACAGGCAACCTCCCCAAACCCTCCATTTCAGAGAAACCAACTCTAAAAATTGCTAAAAAATCGCTGAAAACTCCAATTTTTTCCCTGTTTTTTCCCCATTTCTTCCCAATTTCCCATTTTTTGACCCAAATTTCTGATTTTCCCCCCCAGACCAACGTGTACAGCTCAGCCCAACACAGAAAGAGGCGACCTTCCCAATCCTCCATTTTCAGAGAAACGAACTCTAAAAACCCCTAAAAAATTGCTAAAAAATCGCTAAAAAATCCGATTTTTTCCCCGTTTTTTCCCAAATTTTCACCATTTTCACCCAAATTTTCCCAGTTCTTGGTTTTTCCCCCCAGACCAACGTGTACAGCTCAGCCCAGTGTAGGAAGCTGCATCCTCCCCAAACCCTCCATTTTCAGAGAAACCAACTCCAAAACCCCTAAAAAATCACTAAAAACTCCAATTTTTTCCCCGTTTTTTCCCAAATTGTCACCATTTTTCACCCAAATTTTCCCGTTTCTGTGTTTTTTCCCCCAGACCAACGTGTACAGCTCGGTGCAGCGGCGGAAGCTGCGTCCACCTGTTTTGAGTGATGATAACCAAACAACCCCTAAAAAATCGCTGAAAACTCCAATTTTTTCCCCGTTTTTCCCCGTTTTGCCCCAAAATTCCCATTTTTTGACCCAAATTTCCGATTTTTCCCCCCAGACCAACGTGTACAGCTCGGCCCAACACAGAAAGAGGCGACCTTCCCAAATCCTCCATTTTCAGAGGAACGAACTCTAAAAACCCCTAAAATATTGCTAAAAAATCGCTAAAAAATCCGATTTTTTCCCCGTTTTTCCCAAATTGTCACCATTTTTCACCCAAATTTTCCCGTTTCTGTGTTTTTTCCCCCCAGACCAACGTGTACGGTTCGGCGCAGTGGCAGAAGCTGCGTCCTCGTCTTTCAGAAAAACTGCCTTCAAACTCCCTAAAAAATCGCTAAAAAATCCGATTTTTTCCCTGGTTTTTCCCCATTTTTTCCCAAAATTCCCATTTTTTGACCCAAATTTCCCTTTTTTCCCCCCAGACCAACGTGTACAGCTCAGCCCAGTGCAGGAAGCTGCATCCTCCCCAAACTCTCCATTTTCACACAAACCAACTCCAAAACCCCTAAAAAATCGCTAAAAACTCCGATTTTTTCCCCGTTTTTTCCCAAATTGTCACCATTTTTCACCCAAATTTTCCCATTTCTGTGTTTTTTCCCCCAGACCAACGTGTACGGCTCAGCCCCACACAGAAACAGGCAACCTCCCCAAACCCTCTATTTCGAGAGAAACCAACTCTAAAATTGCTAAAATATCGCTAAAAAATCCAAGTTTTTCCCCTTTTTTTCCCCGTTTCGCCCCAAAATTCCCATTTTTTGACCCAAATTTCTGATTTCCCCCCCCAGACCAACGTGTACGGCTGGCCCAACACAGAAAGAGGCGACCTTCCCAAATCCTCCATTTTCAGAGGAACGAACTCTACAAACCCCTAAAATATTGCTACAAAAATCGCTAAAAACTCCGATTTTTTCCCCGTTTTTTCCAAATTGTCACCATTTTTCACCCAAATTTTCCCGTTTCTGTGTTTTTTCCCCCCAGACCAACGTGTACGGCTCGGCGCAGCGGCGGGAAGCTGCGTCCCTTCGCGGGGTTCCGGCGCACGGCCGTCGTGGTTTGCCCCACGGACGGCGAGCTGCGGCGGCGCACGGCCAAGCGCACGCGCGAGGAGGGCAAGGACGTGCCCGAGCACGCCGTGCTCCAGAGGAAGGGTGCGAGCTTTGGGGGGCAAAAATGGGCATTTGGGGAAAAAACGGGAAAAAATGGTGAAAAAACGGCGAAAATCGGTGAAAAAATGGGGATTTTAGGTCAAAAATGGGGGAAAAATTGAATTTTTTAGGGATTTTTCAGGGGGTCTTGATGCAGGAAAGGAGAATTTGGGAGGTTTGAGAGGACAGAATGGGGTAAAAATGGGAATTTTGGGAAAATTTGGGGTAAAAATGGGGATTTTAGGTGAAAAAATGGCGAAAATCAGTAAAAAAAGGGGAAAAAATTGGAATTTTTTAGGGATTTTTTAGGGGGGTTCTTGATGCAGGAAAAGGAGAAATTTGGGAGGTTTGAGAGGACAGGAATGGGGTAAAAATGGGAATTTTGGGAAAATTTGGGGAAAACCCCGAAATTCTGTGAAAAACGGTGAGTTTTTGGGATTTTGGTGGAAAAATGGGAATTTTTGGGGGTTTTTGGGAGTTGGGAGCTGCAGGGTCGAGGAGGGCAAGGACGTGCCCGAGCACGCCGTGCTCCAGATGAAGGGTGCGAGCTTTGGGGGCAAAATGGGCATTTGGGGAAAAAACGGCAAAAAACGGTGAAAAAAACGGCGAAAATCGGTGAAAAAATGGCGAAAAACGGGGCAAAAATGCGAAATATTTGATTTTTTTTCAGGGTTTTTTCCAGGGGGTTCTTGATGCAGGAGGAAAAGGAGAAATTTGGGAAGTTTGAGGAGGACAGGAATGGGGTAAAAATGGAATTTTGGGAAAATTTGGGGTAAAATGGGGATTTTAGGTGAAAAAATGGGGTTAAAATACGAAAAAATGGATGTTTTGGGGGTTTTTTAGGGTTTTTGAAGGGTTGGGATGCAGGAAAAGGAGAAATTGGGTAGTTTGAGATGGACAGGAATGGGGGAAAATGGGTAATTTTGGGTAATTTGGGGATTTTAGGTTGCAAAAATGGCGAAAATCGGTGAGAAAATGGCGAAAAACGGTGAAAAAATGGGGATTTTAGGTGGGAAAATGGGGAAAAATTGAATTTTTAATGGGATTTCTCTAGGGTTTTATGGGATTTTTATGGGATTTTATGGGATTTTAATGGGATTTTTTTGAGATTTTTATGGTATTTTTTGTGGATTTTTGTGGGATTTTTTTGTGGGATTTTTATGGGATTTTATGGGATTTTATGGGCTAATTTAAGGCGATTTTTATGGGATTTTAAATGGATTTTTATGGGAATTTTTTGGGGTATTTTTTATTTTTATGGGATTTTTAATGGGACTTTTGTGGGGATTTTTATGGGATTTTTTATGAGACTTTTTTAGGATTTTTATGGCATTTTTAATGGGGTTTTGATGGGATTTTTAATGGAATTTTTAGGTGATTTTTATGGGATGTTTTTATGGGATTTTTAATGGAATTTTCATGGGATTTTATGGGATTTTTATGGGCTAATTACGGGGATTATTATGGGATTTTTATGGATATTTTATGGGAATTTTTTGGGTATTTTTTTATTTTTATGGGATTTTTAATGGGATTTTTGATGGGATTTTAATGGGATTTTTATGGGACCTGTTAATGGGTTTTTATGGGACTTTTAATGGGGTTTCTATGAGGTTTTTATGGGATTTTTGATAGGATTTTAATGGGATTTTTATGGGGTTTTTTTAATGGGATTTTTATGGGATTTTAATGGCATTTTAATGGGATTTTAAGGGATTTTTAAATGGGATTTTTGATGGGATTTTAATGGGATTTTTAATGAGATTTTTAATGGGATTTTTAATCGGATTTTTACCAGATTTTTATTGGATTTTTTATGGGATTTTAATGGGTTTTTAATGGGATTTTTATTGGATTTTTATTGGGATTTTTATGGGATCTTTTTGTGGGATTTTTTATGGGATTTTAATGAGATTTTTAATGGGATTTTTAATGGGATTTTGTATCGGGTTTTTACCAGATTTTTATTGGATTTTTTATGGGACTTTAATGGGATTTTAATGGGATTTTTATTGGGATTTTTATTGGGATTTTTTTATGGGATCTTTTTATGGGATTTTTGATGGGATTTTGATGGGATTTTGAATGGGATTTTTATCGGATTTTTAATGGGATTTTAATGGGGTTTTTTATATGGGATTTTTTTAATGGGATTTTTTTAATGGGATTTTGTGTGGGATTTTTTTGGGGGAATTTGATGGGGTTTTTAATGTGTTTATAATGGGATTTTTATGGATTTTATGGGATTTTGGATGGGATTTTTTTAGGATTTTTATGGGATTTTTGTGACCCCCAGTGACCCAAAATCCCATTGTTTCACCCCAAAGCCAACTTCACCCTCCTGGAGCGGGTGAGTTCCTGGAGGCCGTGCGCTTCGTGGAGCTGCAGATTTGGGGATTTTCATGGGATTTTAATGGGATTTTTGTGGGATTTTTGTGGGATTTTTTATGGGATTTTAATGGGAATTTTTGGGTATTTTTTATTTTTATTGGATTTTTACCGGATTTTTATTGGATTTTTTATGAGATTTTAATGGGATTTTTTTAATGGGATTTTTTTAATGGGATTTTTGTGGGATTTTTTGTGGGGAATTGATGGGGGTTTTAATGTGTTTATATTGGGATTTTTATGGGATTTTTAATGGGATTTTTATGGGATTTTCATGGGATTTTTATGGGATTTTGTGGGATTTTTGTGGGATTTTTAATGGGATTTTTAATGGGAATTTTTGGGTATTTTTTATTTTTATTGGATTTTTACCGGATTTTTATTGGATTTTTAATGGGATTTTAATGGGATTTTTTATATGGGATTTTTTTAATGGAATTTTGTGGGATTTTTGTGGGGAAATTTGATGGGGTTTTTAATGTGTTTATATGGGATTTTCATGGGAATTTTATGGGATTTTTTTTGGAATTTGTGGGATTTTTAATGGGATTTTTATGGGATTTTTGGGTGTTTTTATTTTTTATTGGATTTTTACCGGATTTTTATTGGATTTTTTATGGGATTTTAATGGGATTTTTTAATATAGGGTTTTTTATATGGGATTTTTTTAATGGGATTTTTTAATGGGTTTTTGTGGGATTGTTTGGGGGGAATTTGATGGGGTTTTTATGTGTTTATAATGGGATTTTAATGGGGTTTTTATGGTTTTTTATGGGATTTTTTAGGATTTTTATGGGATTTTTGTGACCCCCAGTGACCAAAATCCCATTGTTTCACCCCAAAGCCAACTTCACCCTCCTGGAGCCGGGCGAGTTCCTGGAGGCCGTGCGCTTCGTGGAGCTGCAGATTTGGGGATTTTCATGGGATTTTTCATGGGATTTTTTGGGGGATATTTTAATGGGATTTTTGTGGGATTTTTGTGACCCCCCAGTGACCCAAAATCCCATTGTTTCGCCCCAAAGCCAACTTCGCGCTGCCGGAGCCGGGCGAGTTCCTGGAGGCCGTGCGCTTCGTGGAGCTGCCCAGGGACGAGGCGGCCGCGCTGGTGCGGCGCTACAACCTGGAGGGACGCAGAGCCGGAGGTGACCGCGGCCCGAGTGACCGCTGCGGTGACCGCTGGGGTGACCACAGTGACCACAGGAACCACAGGAATGACTGGAGTGACCACAGTGACCTCACTGACCACAGCACTGACTGGAGTGACCACTGGAGTGACCACAGTGACCACAGGAACCACAGGAATGACTGGAGTGACCACAGTGACCTCACTGACCACAGCACTGACTGGAGTGACCACTGGAGTGACCACAGTGACCACAGGAACCACAGGAGTGACCACAGTGACCACAGGAACCACAGGAATGACTGGAGTGACCATTGGAGTGACCACTGGAGTGACCACAGTGACCACAGGAACCACAGGAGTGACCACAGTGACCACAGGAACCACAGGAATGACTGGAGTGACCGCTGGAGTGACCACTGGAGTGACCACAGTGACCACAGGAACCACAGGAATGACTGGAGTGACCGCTGGAGTGACCACTGGAGTGACCACAGTGACCACAGGAACCACAGGAATGACTGGAGTGACCGCTGGAGTGACCGCTGCAGGAGTGACCTCTGCAGGAGTGGCCACTGGAGTGACCACGGCAGGAGTGACCGCTGGAGTGACCGCTGGAGTGACCACTGGAGTGACCACTGGAGTGACCACAGTGACCACAGGAGTGACCACAGTGACCCCACTGACCGTAGGAGTGACCACAGGAGTGACCGCAGTGACCGCAGGAGTGACCGCAGGAGTGACCACAGTGACCACAGGAGTGACCACATTGACCTCACTGACCACAGGAGTGACCGCAGTGACCACAGGAGTGACCGCAGGAGTGACCACAGTGACCACAGGAGTGACCACAGGAGTGACCGCAGTGACCACAGGAGTGACCACAGGAGTGACCGCAGTGACCACAGGAGTGACCGCAGGAGTGACCACAGTGACCACAGGAGTGACCGCAGTGACCGCAGGAGTGACCGCAGTGACCCCGCTGACCGCAGGAGTGACCGCAGGAGTGACCGCAGTGACCACAGGAGTGACCGCAGGAGTGACCGCAGTGACCGCAGGAGTGACCCCGCTGACCGCAGGAGTGACCGCAGGAGTGACCACAGGAGTGACCGCAGTGACCACAGGAGTGACCCCGCTGACCGCAGGAGTGACCACAGGAGTGACCACAGGAGTGACCCCGCTGACCGCAGGAGTGACCACAGGAGTGACCACAGGAGTGACCGCAGTGACCGCAGGAGTGACCACAGGAGTGACCACAGGAGTGACCGCAGTGACCGCAGGAGTGACCGCAGTGACCGCAGGAGTGACCGCAGGAGTGACCACAGGAGTGACCGCAGTGACCGCAGGAGTGACCGCAGGAGTGACCACAGGAGTGACCGCAGTGACCCCGCTGACCGCAGGAGTGACCGCAGGAGTGACCGCAGGAGTGACCACAGGAGTGACCGCAGTGACCCCGCTGACCGCAGGAGTGACCGCAGCGCTGACCGCAGCAGGGTCCGGCCGTGGCCGCCCTTCCGGAACCTTCCACGGCCGCGGCTCCCGGGGACCCCGGGGGCTTCCGGGGGGCCGGGAACGGAACAGGGTGAGATTGGGGGGTTTTGGGGTTTTTTTTGGGATTTTGGGGGTTTTTTAGGGGGATTTTGGGGCTTTTGAGGGGGGGTTTGGGGGGATTTTGGGGGGGGATGGATGTGGGATTCCCATAGGATTCAGGTGTAGGATTCCATAGGATTCCCATAGGATTCCCCTGTAGGATTCCCATGTAGGATTCCCTTATAGGATTCCTATCGGATCCCATTGAATTCCCATAGGATTTCCCTATAGGATTCCTATAGGATTCCTTTAGGATTTGCCTATAGGATTCCCATAGGATTCCCCTACAGGATTCCCCCATAGGATTCCCATAGGATTCCCCTACAGGATTCCCCCATAGGATTCCCCATAGGATTCCCCTACAGGATCCCGCATAGGATTCCCATAGGATTTCCCTATAGAATTCCCCCATAGGATTCCCATAGGATTCCCCTACAGGATTCCCCCATAGGATTCCCATAGGATTTCCCTATAGAATTCCCCTATAGGATTCCCATAGGATTCCCTTATAGGATCCCATAGAATTCCCATAGGATTCCTGTCTAGGATTCCCTTATAGGATCCCATAGAATTCCCATGGGATTCCCATAGGATTCCCTTACAGGATTCCTGCAGGATCCCATTGAATTCCCATAGGGTTCCTGTAAGATTCCCCTAAAGGAATTCCATAGGATTCCATTATAGGATTCCTATAGGATCCCATTGAATTCCCATAGGATTCCCCTATAGGATTCCCATAGGATTCACGTAGGATTCCCAGGTAGAATTCCCATAGAATTCCTGTAAGATTCCCCTAAAGGAATTCCATAGGATTCCATTATGGGATTCTATAGGATCCCATTGAATTCCCATAGGATTCCCCTATAGGATTCGCTTGTAAGATTCCCATAGGATTCCCTTATGGGATTCCCATAGGATTCCCCTTTAGGATTCCCAGGATTCCCGTAGAATTCCCGCATGGGATTCCCATATAGGATTCCCCCATAGAATTCCCATAGGATTCCCCCATAGGATTCCCATAGGATCCCCCTATAGGATTCCCATAGGATTCCCATAGGATTCACAGGTAGGATTCCTATGGAATTCCCCTATAGGATTCCCTTGTAAGATTCCCATAGGATTCCTCCGTAGGATTCCCCTGTAGGATTCCTGTGAGATCCCATAGAATTCCCATAGGATCCCTTATAGGATTCCACTATAAGATTCCTATAGGATCCTCTGGAATTCCTATAGGATTCCCCCATAGGATTCCCCTATAGGATTCCCTATAGAATTCCCATAGGATTCTCTTATAGCATTCCCATAGGATTCCCTTATAACATTCCCCATAGGATTCCCTATAGAATTCCCATAGGATTCCCTTATAGCATTCCCATAGGATTCCCTTATAACATTCCCCATAGGATTCCCTATAGAATTCCCATAGGATTCCCTTATAGCATTCCCATAGGATTCCCTTATAACATTCCCCATAGGATTCCCTATAGAATTCCCATAGGATTCCCTTATAGCATTCCCATAGGATTCCCTTATAACATTCCCCATAGGGTTCCCTATAGAATTCCCATAGGATTCTCTTATAGCATTCCCATAGGATTCCCTTATAACATTCCCCATAGGATTCCCTATAGAATTCCCATAGGATTCCCTTATAGCATTCCATAGGATTCCCTTATAACATTCCCCATAGGATTCCCTATAGGATTCCCATATGATTCCCGTATAGGATTACCCTATAGGATTCTCGTATAGGATTCCCTTATAGCATTCCCATAGGATTCCCCCATAGGATTCCCCCTATAGGATTCCCATTGAATTCCCATAGGATTCCCCCGTAGGATCCCATAGAATTCCCATAGGATTCCCCCATAGAATTCCCATAGGATTCCCCCATAGAATTCCCCCGTAGGCTTCCCCTATAGAATTCCCATTGAGTTTCCATAGGATTCCCCCATAGGATTCCCATAGAATTCCCATAGGATTCTCCTATAGCATTCCCATAGGATTCCCCCATAGGATTCCCCTGTAGGATTCCCGTAAGATGCCACAGAATTCCCATTGGATTTCCCTATAGGATTCCCATATAGGATTCCCCCATAGGATTCCCATATAGGATTCCCATTGGATTCCCCTGTAGGATTCCCATTGGGTTTAACCAGGGAGGTTCCACCCCAAATATGGGGGGGGGGTGACAGTGGGAGGGGAGGGGACAATGGGGGGGACAATGGGGGGGGGGGGTGACAATGGGGGGGGGGGGGTGACAATGGGGGGTGACAATGGGGGTGACAATGGGGGAGGTGACATGGGGGGGAGGGG